AGTACAGTAGTTCCCAAAGTGTGGTTCCTGAAGCAGCAGCATCAGTTACCCTAAGGGAGCTTATTGAAAATGCAGATTCTCAGACCTACCCAAGACCTGCTGACAGAAACTCTAGGGATGAGACCCAAAATCTGTTTTAACAAGCCCTCCAGGTGAACCTGATGCGTGCTATACTTGGAGAACCTCTGCTCCAGCAAAGTATCTGTTTCTCCACCCCAGCCCCTTTATTATCTGATTTCTGAGTTTATATACATTCTTTGATTCAACAGATATGTACTGAAGGCCCCCTATGTATCAGTGTTATCTATCCTGTCATTGCAATCGTGAATTGACCTATTTTTTCTCTTTCCTACTGGTTCTTTGCAGAGACATAAGAAGGTTGATGAAACTGATTAGTTTTAATTGTGTTTAAGTTGCCTTTCTTTAGTGTTCCCATGTAGATAACTATATCAGCAGCTGACAGTGACCGATTGTTTTCTTTGGTTTTCAATCATTATATCTCATTTACTTTTCTTATCTTATGGCATTTCTTTTTAATTATTAAAAACAATGTTAAATAATGATAACAGCAGGCATAATTTCTCCTTTCTGCTTCTTTTTCTAAAAATTAATTAATTAATTTTTATTTTTTTAATCCTCACCCGAGGATATTTTTCCATTTATCTTCAGATAGAGGTAGGGTGGGGGTAGAGAGAGACAGAGAGACAGAAACATTGACATGAGAGAGACACATCAACTGGTTGCCTCCCACATGACCCCGACCAGGGCCAGGGACAAACCACAACCGAGGTATGTGCCCTTAACCAGAATCGAACCCATGCTCTTACCTCCACAGGCCGATGCTCTAACCACTGAGCCAAAGCGGCCAGGGCCCAAGGTGATGTTTATAACAAGAATAGAAGAGAGGTAGGACCAGGTGTCTGGCATTAAAGCAGAAGGAAAGATCGGAAGACAATTAATTATAGAAGGGCCAGGGTACTATCCAGAAAGGTTCAATAAGGCAGATAATATGCACATAGAGAGGCAGTTTAATAAGAAATTATTGGTTTTTCATCTCAGGGACCTCAAGAGGCAATATGGGCCAATGAAAGAGCAGAAGCTGAGATTGAAGGATTTGTTTGGTTAACATTAGTATTGAATAAAATATTAAAAATATGAAAATGTAAAGGCACTGCTTGATGAATTTTCACAAGATGATTACATCTGTGCATCCACTATCCAGATCAAAATATGGAACACGGGCAGCACCCCAGAAGCCTCTCTCCTGCCTGCCACTCAGCAATCCTGGGAAGTAACCACTGTCCTCACCCTCATTTGCATAGACTCATTTAACTTTTTAATATTATATAAATGGGATCATGTTGTGTGTATTCTTTTGTGTCTTGCTTCTTTTGCTGTCACTGATGCTCATCTGTCTTTTTCCGTGTAGCAGTTGTTTTTTGACTTGGGTGTCATCCCGTGGTATAATTCCCCTGTAATTCTTTTATCTTCTGTTGATGAACATTTGAGTGGTTTGCAGTTTTGATTATGACAAATCATGCAGCTATGGGCATTCTGGGTGCACATGTGTGTTCATCTCTGAGAAGTATATGCAGTTTCTGTGGGTCAGAATTTCAGAACAGCCCAGCCAGGTGGGTCTTGTTCAGGGTCTCTTGTGAGGCTTCAGTCAAGGTGCTAGCCAGGGTTGCTGCTAGGTCCAGGCTCAGCCAGGAGGGTGACTCCAAGCTCACTGACGTTGGCAGCATTCAGTTCCTTCCCTCTGGGCTTCTCCTAGTTGCTGCCTCCAGGGTATGGCAGCTGGCTTCCCCCTTGGGTTCTGGCAGAGGGAGGGAGGACCGGGCTGGAACTTTGTGGGGACACTCGGGACTTAACGGGTACTCAGAGCCCCTGCTGAGCCAGGGCCACGAAAGAGAGTGGTCACCCCACTGTCTCCCAGGGCTCTGGGGAGAGGTGGTGGCCCCTCAGAGATTTAACCCCACCTGCTTCATTTTTTTTTTTTTTTTTATCCTCACCCGAGGACATTTTTCTGTTTAGATAGAGCGGGAGGGGGAGAGAGAGGAAGAGAGAGAGATAGAAACATCGATGTGAAGGGACACATCGAGTGGCTGCCACCCACACGACCAACCAGGGCCGGGGACAAACTGCAACCGAGGTACGTGCCCTTAGCGGGAACCGAACCCGGGTCTCTCTGTACCGCAGGCTGACGCTCCAACCGCTGAGCCAAACCGGCCAGGGCTGCTTCATTTTTTTTTTAAAAGAGTTTATTTTTAAATTTTTTTAACATTTTTTTTCCTTTATTGATTTTAGAGAGAGAGAAAGTGAAAGGGAGAGAGATAGAAACATCGATGAGACAGAACATCGATTGGTGGACTCCTGCATGCCCCCCACTGGGGGTTTGGCCCACAACCTGGGTATGTGCCCTGACCCTGGAATCGAACCAGTGACCTCTTGGTGCATGATTCTATGCTCAACCACTGAGCCACACCGGCTGGGCTCCCCTTGTGCTTCTTATGAGTTTGTTGTTTTTTTAGGGTTTAAAGATGGATCTTGGATTGACACTTGGAATTGTATTGTTTCCTTCCCATTGATGAGTGTTAAATTTTATTACAAGCATTTATGTTGAAACTATCATTATTTCTGCATTGGTCTATTCATGCAAATATTTTGTTATCTGACTTTCTAATATTATATTTTTGTACCTTTCAGATGAACATGAATTCATAAGGAATTATGTTATTTTTATCAAGTAGATGACTTCATTTTACTCCTTTTTCAGGTTGCTGCATCTATAGTCAATATGAGATTAACTTGTAGAATTCTTGTTTGCGTTATATATTATTTTTGGTTTCAACCTTCATTCGACTTTCTGTGCTTTGTTGAGAACAAACCACTGGGAATACCAGGATAAGTAAATTTGATAACATGTGATCTAAGTTGTGTAGCTTATGATTCAGTCATGGGAGGGACAGATGTTAATCAAATAATTTTATCAGTAAATGCAAAAACACATCTCTGACTTAGGCAATGAAGAAGAATACAGGGGGCTATAAAAGCATGTACTAGGGGGACTGTGCTTGGTGGGCAGAGAGGGTTCAGAAAGGCTTCCTTGAGGAAGTGATGTTCCATATAAGAGATAAGGACAAGAATTATCACAGGAAGAATTATCAGAGAAAGAATTATCAGAGGAAGACAGAGGCGTGGAGGAGTACCTCATCCAGGAGGGTAGTACTTACACAGGCAAGACTGGGGGTTTTTAGGATTTGTAAGAAGGCAAATATGTTGAAACTGGAAGATTGAAAGACTGGTGTTGTGCTTAATAAAATTGGGAGGTTGGAAGAAACCAGCATGTGCTGGCAAACCTGTAAAGAATGTTAAAAGAAAGAAAAACCATAGACCAGTCTCCCTTATGGAGCCTGAGGCAAAAATCCTCAGATGTAAGCACCTTCCAAAGCATATTCGTGTTTTCTTCTGCCTGGGGCTTAAGGTACATGTCATCCAGGACCACTGGAGACTAAATTCCTCTGGTTGAAGTTCTAGGTAAGAGTGAATGTGGGCTCTAAATCTATGAGTGGCTGCCTCAGCTACAGTGGATATTCAGGTCCGACTCTTTCTGACATTTCACGGATGGATTTTCTTCCTTTTTTCTACCCTGCAGTATTGGGCATTGTGTGAAAGTGTCTTTTAATTGTTAATTTTGACATCATTTCAGGTTTAAACAGAAGTTGAAAGAATAGTTCCCACATATATCCTTTACTTCATCCCTAAATGTTTATATTTTTGCCACCTTAATTTTTTTAAACAGTTTTCTCTTTCTTTCTTGTGTGCGTGCGTGTATGGGTATGTGTTTTCAGAACGATTTGAGAGTAAGTTGCCTCTCTAAATCATCAGTATTCCCTCGAAACAAGCACATTTTCCTCACATAACCACAGTACAATGATCAAAATCCAGAAATTGACATTGATATAATACAGTTATTAAATTTATAGATGTCATTTCTATTTTGACAATTATCCTAATAATGTCATCTAGAGCTAAAGGAAATCCAAGATCATGTGTTACATTTGGTTTACATCTCTTTAGCTGCCTTTAATCCAGAACAGTTCCTAGACTTTTTTTCTTTTTTTCAATCCTCACCCAAGGATATGTTTTTATTGATTTTAGAGAGAGAAAGAAACATTGTGTGTGAGAGAGAAACATTGATTGGTTGCCTCCCATATGCACCCTGACTGGAGATCAAACCTGCAACCTTTTTTGGTGTACTGAACAATGCTCCAACCAACTGAGCCCCCTGGCTAGGGCTGGACTGTCTTTGAATTTGATGATATTGACATTTTTTAGTGTACCTCAATTTGGGTTTGTCTGATGCTCCTTAGTCTTCAGATTGAAGTCCTGTATCTTTGGCAAAAATACCACAGTAGTGACATTGTGTCCTTTCCAGTGCCTCCTACAGGAGGTACATGATATTGACTTGTCCTATTTTGAAGTTTCATGACCATCTGATAGGGTTGTTATAAAATGGATGCTTAAGCCCTGGTCAGTTTGACTCAGTGGCTAGAGCAATAGTCCATGGACCAAAGAGTCACAGGTTCAATTCTGGTCAAGGGCACATATTTAGGTTGCAGGTTTGGTCCCTGGCCCTGGTCAGGGTCATGCGGGAGGCAAACAATAGGTGTGTCTCTCTCACATCAATCTTTCTCTCTCCCTCTTCCTGCCCCCTACTCTGTCTGAAAAAAAGAAAAGCAATGGAAACATATGCTCTGGTGAGGATTAAAACAATAAAATAAAATAGAATGGATACTTAAGATGGGTGGTCAGAAATTCTATTCTGTAGGATTCCACTTAGGTTTCATTGTTATAAAATGGGTGCTTAAGATGAGTGGGTGGGACAAGAGACTTCACTTTTTAGGATTCCATTTCTAAGTGAATGGAAACCCAACTCTTAGGCAAAATGAGAGACTTTATTTATAATTTGAGTGAAAGGTATAGTTAACATTTCTATTATGTGGAGGGTGTCCGTTTGTGCTAATTCATGTTGTTCTTGTCTCTTCCTTCATAGATATATCAACTACATGAAAGAAGGAAACAAAACAATAATTTTAGAGTTCATCCTCCTTGGGCTTTCTGAGGATCCATAACTGAACCTCCTCATATTTGGGCTTTTCCTGTCCATGTACCTGGTCACTGTGCTTGGGAACCTGCTCATCATCCTAATCATCTGCTTTGACACCCACCTTCACACCCCCATGTACTTCTTCCTATCCAATCTGTCCTTGGTTGACATCTGTTTCAGCACCACCATAGTCCCCAATATGCTGGTAAACATCCAGACAGAGAACAAGGCTATCTCCTACATGAACTGCCTCACTCAGGTGTATTTTTCCATGTTTTTTCCTATCCTGGACACTTTACTTTTGACCGTGATGGCCTATGACCGGTATGTGGCCATCTGTCAGCCCCTACACTACACAATCATCATGAACCCTCATCTCTGTGGCTTGCTAGTTTTTATTACTTGATTAATTGGTATCATGACATCCCTCCTCCATATCTCTCTGATGATACATCTGAATTTCTGTAGAGATCTTGAAATTCCACATTTCTTCTGTGAGCTGACACAGATCCTCAAGTTGGCCTGCTCTGATACCTTCCTGAATAGCATATTGATATATTTTATGACTGGTATGCTGGGTGTTTTCCCCCTTTTTGGAATCCTATTCTCCTACTCAAGAATTACTTCATCCATAAGGAAGATGTCCTCATCGCGGGGAAAGCAAAAAGCATTTTCCACCTGTGTGTCTCATCTCTCAGTTGTTTCTTTGTTTTATGTGGCAGGCATTGGGGTCTACTTCACTTCTGCAGTGACTCACTCTTCCCAGAAAGTCTCAGTTGCCTCAGTGATGTACACTGTGGTCACTCCCATGCTTAACCCCTTCATCTACAGCTTGAGGAACAAGGATGTGAAGGGAGCCCTGGGAAGGCTTCTCAGCAGAGCAGCCTCTTGTCTGTGATAGATCCACTGGCCCCAAGACTTAGCAGTTTTTTTAGTACCAGTGGTAAAAACTTTATTCTGAAGTTCTTACCGTTGAATCTCTCAATCTTATTCTTTCATCTGGTCTTTAAGGATCTATGACTTTGTTCTCTACTGGTTTTTAGCACACATTTAAACAGCTAATCTCCCAGTAATTTCTTTGATGACCTTTTTGACCTATGTATTTTCCAAAAATTATGTCCTTGGTATTTTTCTTTACCTCTGCACTAGTGAATTCTAAACTTGGATTTGAAGCACTTACTATATCTTTGTTATCTCAAATGTTCACCTAGATGCAGCAGTTCTCAACCTGTGGGTCGCAACCCCTTTGGGGGTCGAACAACCCTTTCACAGGGGTCACCTAAGACCATCAGAAAACACATATTTCCAATAGTCTTAGGAACCAAGACACTGCTCCTCTGTCTCCAGGTGGGTCCACCCACATGCAGATATGCCCACATACAACATGAGAAACTGTATTAAAGGGTCGAGGCATTAGGAAGATTGAAACCCACTGACCTGGAGAGCTCAAACTACTAATTGTTCACCTTTATTTCTATGTGTTTGATTGTAAATTTGTGTTATTTGTGTGTGTGCATCACCAACAGTGTTGTTGTTGTTGTTTTTTACTGGATAAAGTATGATTAAAATACATATCAAAATATAGTTGATGTATTAGTGCTTGTTATATGATAAGCCTGTACTAACTTACATAATCTTCCCAGTAGGAAAAATTACTGTCCCCATTTTAGAGGTGATGAAAATGAGACTAAGAAAGCTATAAACAAAACTTTTCCAAAATTACAGAGGGATGAAGGACCAAGTGGCAAACGAAGGATTCAAACCCAGAAATCTAACCCTGAGCCCATAGTCTTATCTAACAGTTTTCACAGTTTTTCATGTAGATTTTGATTTTCTGTACATCTGTATGGTAGATTTTACTGCTGATTGACAATATTTCAAATTATCCTTTCCTGTTGCATACCTAAGAGAATTGCATTTCCTTTCTCCTTAAAGGTAAAGGTGGCAATATGGTTTTATTTGTCCAATAAAACATGAATGGAATTGATGTGTCCCTTCTAGGCTGGTATATTTAAGAACTGGTAAATTATTCTTTGTCTTCCCTCTGCCTCTGATATGGTTATTGTGGAATAAGGGCATCATAAAATCAACATAGTCTAGAAAGCTGGCATATACATAGAGGACTTTCCTGGATAGTTACTTAAGTCCATATATAAATGATTTTTAAAATATATAATCCCAGCCCTGGCCAGTTTGGCTCAGTGGTTAGAGCGTCGGCCTGCGGTCCAGAGAGACCTGAGTTCGGTTCCCGCTAAGGGCATGTACCTCGGTTGCAGTTTGTCCCCGGCCCTGGTTGGGTTGTGCGGGTGGCAACCACTCGATGTGTCCCTTTCACGTCGATGTTTCTCTCTCTCTCTCTCTCCCTCCCACTCTATCTGAACAAAATATGGAAAAATGTCCTCGGGTGAGGATTAAAAAAAACAACAACAAAAAAATAAAATATATAATCCCATAAATTCCATTAGTGTCACAATTCAATAATCTCCTTTCAATGTGATGTGAGATATCTGTGATATGACACAATAATCATGACCAGAATGAGATGGGAGGAGTATTTCCAGCACAGCCAATAACTATTTTGTTTACCCAGAATATTTCTAGGTTTTCTTAGAAGGTCTACTCCTATCTATTCCTTGGAGTCCTCAGCATCTCAACGTCTTGGTTCTTCTCCCATGTTCAACTTTAACAGTTGAATCAAATAGCCAGAAGTTTCAAGCTTTACATATCAACCAGTGATGGTGATGTAGTCAGTGACAAAGATAGATAAAGTTATCACCAGGTTACTTTGTTTAAAGAAAAAATTAGTCTTCAAGAAAGATTTATCATATGGCTTAATGCTAGTATATGTAGTATATCTATATGTTTCTGTATCTATCTATCTATCTATCTATCTATCTATCTATCTATCATCTATCATCATCATCATATATCATCTACCATAATCTATCACAAAATTTCCCAGGGCTGAGAGAACAGAGAAAGAGACTGACAGTTCCAGCATTACAATGAGGGTTCATTAAGGGAATGTACATATGAGGCTTGTCTTAAGAGGCTTGCCTTAAGACTCTCTACGAGTCTTAGTGAATGAGGAAGTTTCCATGGAGAAGATGAAGCAGGATGTTTCTGAGTATGGGCAAGCCAGTGAGCACAATGAAACATTTTCAGGGATCAAAGAAGGTTCAATGATAAAAGAAGAATCAAGCAGAAATACATGAGTGAGAGAAGTGGAAATGATAAAAAAGTAGAAAGTCTTATGTGGGCATGCGTGTTTAATATTTAATATAATAACTACCATAACTATATTGATTTTGTATAACTATGTATAGTCAATAATATAACTAATATATATTTATAATTTTTAAAATTAATTGATTTATATTTTTATTTTTAATATTTACTGGTTCATTCTTTTATTAGATTTACTTCTTTAATTTATTTTATTAGAGATGTCCCCCATTCCTGCCCCCAACTTTGCCCTTCTCCATCCATCTCCTACCCTATCCCAGGCCTTTACCTGTCCATTGTCTGTTGTTTGTATCCATGGGCTATGCAAAAATGCATAAAAGTTCTTTGATTAATCTCTTCCTGCCCTCCTTTCCACCAGCAGTGTACTAGGTTACCCTTTTCTCCACACCCTTGCCAGCACTTGTCACTTGTCATTTGTTAATTTGTTGATGGTAGCCATTCTGGATGGTGTGAGGTGATACCTCATTGTTGCTATAATTTACATCTCTCTGATGATTAGTGGCATTGAGCATTGACCTCTATCCTAAGAGAAACCACAGACAGTAAAATCTTAGACATCTCATATAGCAGAATTTTCACTGATACATTGCCTAAGGCAAGAGAAAAAAATAAACAAATGGGACTACATCAAACTAAAAAGCTTCTGCACAGCAAAAGAAACAACCATTAAAATGGAAAAGGAACCCACTATATGGAAGAGCATAATTGCCAACAGTACATCAGATAAGGGGTTAATTTCTAAAATAAATAAACTACTCATACAACTCAACAAAATGAAGACAAACAGTCCAATTAAAAAATGGCAGAGGGCCCTGGCTGGTTTTGCTCAGCGGTTAGAGCATGGCCTGTGGTCCGAGGAGACCCAGGTTCAGTTCCCGCTAGGGGCATGTGCCTCAATTGCGGTTTGTCCCCAGCCCTGGTTGGGTCGTGCATGCAAGAGGCAGCCACTCGATATGTCCCTTTCATGTTGATGTTTCTCTTTCTCTCTTTCTCTCTCTCCTTCCCACTCTATCTGAACAAAAAATAAAGAAGTGTCTTCAGATGAGGATAAAAAAAAAAAGGCAGGAGACCTGAATAAATACTTCTCCAAACAGGACATACACATGGCCAAGAGACATATAAAAAAATACTCAATGTCACTAATCATCAGAGAGATGTAAATTAAAGCAACAGTGAGGTATCACCTCACACCATCCATGATGGCTACCATTAACAAATCAACAAATGACAGTTGCTGGTGAGGATGTGAAAAAAGGGTAACTTAGTACAATGCTGGTGGGAATGCTATGGGGTGTGGGGTGGGATTGGGAGGAGGGTGTCAATGGGGAAAAAAGGAGAAACATCTATAACAAAAATAAATTCATTTAAAAATAAATATATGAAGTATTTATACAACTCAATAGAAGGAAGAAAAATAATCCCATTAAAATGGGTAATTAAAGATGAATACATGGGAGTACATCAAACTAAAAACTTCTGCACAGCAAAAGAAACAAGTATCAAAATGGAAAGAGAACCCACTATATGGGAGACCATAATTGCCAATGATACATCAGATAAGGGGTTAATTTCCAAAGTAAATAGTACTCACAACTCAACAAAAGGAAGACAAAGAACCCAATTAAAAAATGGGCAGAGGAACTAAATAGACACCTCTCCAAACAGGACATACAAATGGCTATGAGACATATGAAAAAATGCTCAATGTCACTAATCATCAGAGAGATGCAAATTAAAACAACTATGAGGTATCATCTCACACCTGTCAGAATAGCTGCCATCAACAAATCATCAAACAAGGGTGTGGAGAAAAGGGGACTCTAGTACACTGCTGTTGGGAATGCAGACTAGTGCAGCCACTATGGAAAACACTATGGTGTCACCTCAAGAAAATGAAATTGAATTGCCATTTGACCCAGTGATCCCACTTCTAGCAATATATCCTAAGAAGCCTGAAACACCAGTCAGAAAAAATCTATGTACCCCTATGTTCATAGCAGCACTATTTACAATAGCTAATATCTGGAAACAGCCCAAGTATCCATCAGTACACGAGTGGATAAAAAAGCTGTGGTATGTATACACAATGGAGTACTATACAGCTATAAGAAAGAAGGATCTCTTAACCTTTGAGATGACAAGGAGGGACCTAGAAAGTATCATCCTAAGTGAAACAAGCCAAGCAGAGAAAGACAAATATCACATGATCTCACTTATTTCTGGAATATAATGAACTAAACAAACTGATTAACAAAATAGACCCAGAGTCATAGAAGTAGGGTACAGACTGACAATCCTCAGAAGAGAAGGTTGTGGGGGAGGGAAGAGATAAACCACAGAACTTATATGTATGTATGCATAACTGATGGACATAGACAACAAAGCTGGGGACAGGGTGGGGAAGATGGGGGAGGAGGGTGTCAATGGGGGAAAAAGAAGAAACAGCTGTAACAAAATTAAATTCATAAAAGAAAAAGTAAAAATGGGCAAATGGCCCAGGCTAGGTTTGCTCAGTGGTTAGAGCATTGGCTCACGGACCAGATAGTCCCACGTTTGGTTCCTGCTAGAGCACATACCTAGGTTGCAGTTTGGCCCCAGCCCTAGTTGGGGTTGTGTGGATGGTGACCACTCGAAGTGTCTCTCTCACATCGA